TACCTTGTACAATACAAGACGAAAGAATACGAGAACACGTTACCTTGTATAACGCAATACGAAAGAATACGAGAACACGTTACCTTGTGTAACACAAGACGAAAGAACACCAGAACACGTTACCTTGTGTAATACAAGACGAAAGAATACGAGAACACGTTACCTTGTATAGCACAAGACGAAAGAATACCAGAACACGTTACCTTGTATAGCACAAGACGAAAGAATACCAGAACACGTTACCTTGTATAGCACAAGACGAAAGAATACGAGAACACGTTACCTTGTATAATACAAGACGAGACAATACATTCAGTCCCCTCCCCGATATCCGCGTCCGGGTATCAGTAGAGGAGGAATAATACGATACAACGATACGAGACGATACAAATTGAAACAGAATCACACGAGCAATACCAGACTTCGCCGCTACAGGGAGGCACGTTTTCAAAGGATCATCCCCCCTCCCCTCTCTTATTGACAGTGTGAAGAGGAGAGGGACTCATAAGACACTGATCCTCTCCTCTTCTCTTCCATGTCTTCGACAGCCTAAGGAGGAGGAGGGGGAAAATCATTGGGATAGCTAATACAGTCTATTCAATCCGGGGCAGTATACGGCTTCAAGTCCTTGACGTGGACCTTTCCTGCAGCAGCTCCATCAAGAGCGACAAGCTCATACACTAGAGACGACACAACACGAATAATTCTAAAAGGTCCCTGAAATTTTGGTGCCAATTTTGCAGCTATCCCCTGAGCTGCAGACGACAGCGTGTTCCGCCGTCTCCACACTAGGTCGCCAACACTAAAAACTCGATTCCGCCTATGCCGATTATAATAAGTGGCCTGCTTTTGATACGCGGCCTCCAAATTTTCCTCCACCCACGCGTCCAACGATCTCACTTCTCTCATCCTCTCCGACCATTCCCCCACGTCGCGAGGTTCGACTTCTACCGTCGGGTCACATCGCTTACGCAATGAATCTCCGAGCTCTAATTCTCGACCTAAATTCACGAAGGCAGGCGAAGATCCGATCGATGAATGATACGCTGTATTATAAGCGAAGCGGAAATCGTTCAAATGGACATCCCACTCGCGGTGGTCACGATCTAGAAACGACACGATCATAGTTTTGAGAACTCTATTTACCCTCTCCACGGGGTTAGCTTGAGGATGATACGGCGGTACTGTAGTGTGCGTGATTCCGTTTTCTCGCGCGAACTCCCGCATCACTCTATTTACAAATTCCGTGCCGTTGTCGGTTAATATAAATTTCGGCGTGCCCCAGCGTAAGAGAACTAAATCGGTAAAAGCTTCCTTAATATTCTTTCCGTTCGCGGCCCGCAATGCGCGACATTCTACCCACTTCGTGAATAAATTCTGCATTACTAAAATATATGCGTGACCCGATTTACTTCGCGGTAACGGCCCCATGACATCCGCGGCGACAATCATCCATGGAGCCTCGACAACCCTTCTTCCCATGAGGCCCGCAGGGCTCGCCTGCTCGACTTTAGTACTCTGACATATTTTACACTGCCCGACGTACTTTGCAGTATCGCGAAACATACCGGGCCAATAACAGGCAATCGAGAGCCGATAATGCGTCTTTTCCACGCCTAAATGTCCCGACTGCGGAATATCATGTGACTCGCGTAAAGCTTCCGCTCGCAATTCCCGCGGCACAACTAACTTCCATTCATTCAAATCCTCAACAACCGCGGCGGTGACCCTGTGAGGGCGCCGAACGTATAACCGATCATCCATTATTTTCCATCCCTTAAAAAGCTCCGGTTTTTCCGAAACCCCCCGAAACTGTTTTCGATACCAGGGATCCTCTGTGTCTTCTAAAGCCTTCTCCACATTTACCGCGGCCAAACACGCGTCGACAGTCTCCCCCTCTATTCCGGCGTCACTCTCAAACATTCGCGATAAAGCATCCGGCACTTTATGTAGCGCTCCCTTCCGATGGACGATCTCGTAATCGTATTCCAAAAGTTCCAGCGCCCACCGTGCTAATCTTCCCGTAGGGTTTTTCAGATGGTGAAGCCACCGTAGGCTACTGTGATCGGTCAAAACTGTGAACCGGTAACCCTCTAGATACGGCCTAAACTTTCTTATCGCCCATACGACCGCCAAGCACTCCTGTTCCGTGACAGAGTATCTTGCTTCTGCAGCCGATAATGCGCGACTCGCGAACGCTATAATATTTTCATTTCCCTCGATATTCTGAGTTAACACGGCACCTAACCCGACGGAACTAGCATCTGTTTGTAAAACGAATGGAACGTCAAAATTCGGACACGATAAAGTAGGCGCGACAGCTAAACGAGCACGAATTTCTTCGAACGCTTTTTCTTGTTCATTCCCCCACTCCCATTTCTGTTTCTTTTTCAACAGCCTAGTTAATGGCTCACTCGCGGTAGCAAACTGTGGGATAAATCTACGATACCAAGAAGACATTCCCAAAAATCGACGCAATTGCTTAAGATTACGCGGCACTGGATATTCTAGGATAGGTCGCGCTTTATCGGAATCGACAGTCAGGCCAAAGGAAGCATCCGAGGAGTTGTGACGTGACATTTTGTCAGTCACCCAGAAAAACAGCATAACGCGAGATCCTGGGTCCTTCAGGGTCAACGGGCGAGCGCATATGCAAATGTGCGACATTATTATTTAATTTTATTTCATTTTTGCGATTATTGTATTATTTAATTGATATTCTCTTTGTGCGATTGTTGTATTATTTTCTTTTTTTTCTTCTCTATGTCGCTATTTAGTTAAGTTTTAGCTAACGTTAAGACGATCCTGAGCTCGGATTTCATTATTAAGTACGATCAAAGCCGGTGGCTATTTTGTCTCTCTGTGTTTGACCGCCTCACCTATCACGAGAAGAAAGAAGACGTCGCCTGCTGCGAGGGAAACATTGCTGTCGGAGAAATTCGACTGGAATCACGGAAAGCGCGTTACACGCAGGTCGTATTATTTCATATTTGTTACTGTAATGTCGCCATTCTTCTGTGAATTATCGCACGATTATTGCAGACGCCTCGGAGAGAGACGTCAGCTGGGAACGGATTAACAGGCAGGACCTCTGCCGAAGCGCCGTATCCCGTAAAGATTACTGGAAGATCCTCGAGCGACCAAAAAGCATTTTTCCGCCTTATTTGGAAAAGCGCGCCATAGCGCCCAAGGCTCCGCGCCACGCAAGGACCCGCGGGATTCGTCGCGGGGTCACGCGGTCGCGGCGAGCCAATTAGAATAGGCAGAGGCCGTTAAGAGAGGGCCTGACGACCTGCGTGAATCCGCGAGAACTTCCGATCGGCACTTGTGCAGTGACTGGCCCTGACGAAGGACGCAGGATCTCGCCAAAGCGTATCGAGGATATTCGTTTAGGACGTCCTTGGTTATCGGCTCTCGAGGAAGCTTGACGAAGGAAGCATCCGAGGAGGAATCTTGGTGAGGCGAGCGTTATTAATTGTATTGTAAAGGCACTGATCGTGTAATATTTTGTGAGCGTATCGAGTGAATCGCGTGTGTGAGTCCCGCGGGTTTGATTCAGCCGATGTCGTACCGGCAATGAGTTGGGTTAGATTATTAAAATGATATTATTTTTAAAATAAAAACTATTCGAAGACACTTCCATGATTGTACTATTGCTATGATTGTACTGTTGGGAAAATCTTCTGCCGACGGGGTGGGTGCGGGAGTGGAGGCCGAAGGCCACCCCCTTGCACCCGCTCGTGTGTGTATGTGTGTGTGTTCTATTTAATATATAACGATTATGAGTCTATTACTTGATGTTTTACACACACACGCACGCACGCACGGGCGGGCAGGTGGGTGCAAGGGGGTGGCCTTCGGCCCCTCCCTCCCGCACCAATCCCGTCGTACAGTGGTGTGGTGGTGGAAAAAACCCAAAACTTTGAAAATAATATTTTTACGTATCAACTATTATTTTGGGGTATGTAATAAATAGCAGATAATAAATGATATTCAAAGGCTCCAAATTTTTAAATGAGAAGGTAAATAAGCCTATGTAAGCCGTCACAAGTTGTAATGTGTGTATGAAATTGTATTCTTCAAAAGAAATAAAATACAGACGTTTCGACAATAGATTTTGTCCTCTTCATGTGCCAATATTATATTCCGGGAATTAGTGTTAGTTGTAGTAATAATTTACTTGATTACATTGAAATTCGTTGAAGTCATCATTATTCAAAATTGTTCTACCTCGTCTGTAATATCTAACATAATATCCAAACTATGATGGCAGTCACTAACATAAGAGTAAAATAGAAACAATAAAGAAAGAAAGAGATTAAAATTGATATTATTGATTTTAATGTAGTCTAAAAGTTTAACCCTTTTCGGCATACATTTTTCTTTACTCGTAAAATAACTGAAAATTGTTACTCGGGGGTTTTCGGAGTCGCTGATTACGAATCTGACGTCAAATTTTTAAAATTTAAAATGGCATATCTAGGATGGCGAACGAACATAAAAATCGAGTGTTGGATTTTCTTGAAAATTGGTATTTTGGAGTTTTCTGGATCGCTGATGACAAATCCGGTGTCAGATTTTAACAAATAAAGATGGCGGATCTAATGTGGTGGATGGAATTAAAACAAATTTAGCGATTAGAAAAATAACCAGATTTCAAATTTTTGAAAATGACGAATTGAATGACCTGAAAAATGTGGTACAATTTTAATTTCTTTGTACTTGCTCTCAGCATGACCCAGAACTAACGACGTGGACGTGGTAAGCTTATAGTTCCTTTTTTTATTTTCTGTTTTTTTATTTTTTTTTGTATTTTTGTTTTTTTAATTTTTTTTTACATTTTGTGGTTTTTTATTTTTTTTGTATTTTTGTTTTTTTAATATTTTTTTTACATTTTCTGGTTTTTTATTTTTTATTGTATTTTTGTTTTTACATTTTCTGATTTGTATTTTTTTTCTTTTCTGTCCCTTTGATTTTGTTTTCATTTTGTCTCTCTTTTGTTATGAATGATAATTTAGAAAGCAGTTGTTCTTTGAAGATAAACAGAGAGGTACATTGCAAGATTTACACATCCATGAAGTTCGCATTTCATTCTTTTTTGTGCTGTACAGGGCACAGCGTCTTTGATTTTCAGTGCATATAGGCATATGTAATGCTTCAGAATGCCTTTTCTCAATTGACACTTGTGGTTTTGAAGAAGAAATCTCGAGTGATTGGCGTTTTCTGCCTCTTTCAGTTTTTATTTTGCCTCCAACTAACTCATCGATCAATGCAAGCTTGAATTTTTTCAACGACAAAGGGGGTTGGAAGCCCTTTTTTGTATATATAATAAATGCATTGACCACAGCAACGTCTACAAAGTTCCAGAATATTCTGTGCCACCATTTTTTAGATTTCCGATCAATTTTATAACTTGATACTAGACGATCAGCATTGTCAACATACCCCATGTGCTTATTATAATCAGTACTCATTACTGGCGAATTTATTTCTTTTATCGAACCATCTTTTTGCTTACGAGTTACAGTTGTTTCCTCGCATGGATCGTGGTAGTTGGACAAGGAAGTAACAACTTTCTTATCCATCCATTTGATGAACCGCAGGCCTGTGTTAGATGTCGTAAACATACTTTCTTCGTGACGCATTTTTTTGTCTGCAATTTGTTTGTTTCTTGGCAAGCCTGAACGATTGGAACGTACAGTTCCGCAGGCAAAAATGTGATCATTTTTCAACGAAATCAGAAGATCAACACCCGTGAAAAAATTGTCGAAATAAACATGATGGTTACCCCCCACGATTTCGCGTGTTAGATCTTTGACGATTCGCGCACCTAATTGTTTTTCAGTTCCGTCCGTTTTGCCTGTATATATCTGAAATTCACATACATAGCTTGAGGAATCTGCCCGAACCCAACACTTATAACCGCGTTTTATAGGTTTGGCTGGCATGTATTGCTTCAAACTGCTTCGACCTTTAAATTTAATCATTGATTCATCAATGCTCTGATATTGACTTGGTTTCCAACAACTTTTTTGAAAGTTTCGTTTAGCCTAGTCAATACGGGTTTCAACTTATATAATTTATCATAGTTCGGATCATCTTTTTTGGGTTCATTATTGTTATCAGTAATATGTAAATTGCCGAGAAAAAATCCAAAACGGATGACAGGCATCAAAGAACATATATACGGATCATTGAGTTGAGAATTTCGAGACCAATAATCACGATAAGACGGTAATCTTTTTATTCCCATGAGCATGTTTATACCCAAAAATATTAGAAGTTCCTCTCGTGTTACTGGTTGCTGTTTTGCTTTATTCTGTGTCGAATACAGATTGGTTTGTTCTACAATTATATTCAAAAGATCATCTGGAAACAAGCACATAAATGTCTCTTTTGGTTTCTGTACATTGTCAGGAATATTCGGTCCACAATCTTTAGAAAATATGACGTTACCTTTTGGTAAACCGACATTTCTCCAGATTTCATTGCCTTCGTCACAACTAATCGTCTTCTGATTCATCAGTACCAGTGGGCATACCTCGGGTGTACTTCCGAAAAGGACGGGCCGGAAATTCTTAGCGCGCATATGTTTTCTGACGTTTTTGATGTGCTGAATTCGAATATCATGATGAAAATTGGCGGAAATGCGATTATCATGGTGAAAACCACGAAAAACCCATAAAAATAGCTATTTTTTTTCATTTTTTTGCGTTTATTTAAAAAACTACAAATCTGACAAAAAAAACGTTTGAAACAAAAAATGTAGAGCATGAAATTCTCTACAAAAAAGTTTATATGCATTTTCTTTGTATTATCAACGGTAATCCCGTAAATGAGGGCTAAACCTGATATAATCGGCATAGCTTGTATAATACATGTACGATATTAAGTACTATTCTACACCTTTCCCTATTCAGAAACGTTAAACTTTCCACGCGAAGTTACTTTAACCTCCCCTTCCCCCCTGCACAGGGGCACAGGACTTCTACGATTATACTGTTGCTATGATAGTACTGTCGGGGCAGACCTCTGTGACGGTGTGGGTGCGGGGGGGTGGCCTTCGGCCTTGCACCCGCCCGTGCGTGCGTGCGTGCGTGCGTGCGTGCGTGTGTGTGTGTGTGTGTAGTTCCTAAACTATTTCAAACAAGTAAGGCGATAATCGAACCCACGTGAATGTTGCGTAGTAGTTGCTGTAATGGTTGATTTATGTACTTAGCACTCATTTACGGGGTTACCGTTGATAATACGAAGAAAATGCATATAACTTTTTTTGTAGAGAATTTCATGCTCTACATTTTTTGTTTGAAAAATTTTTTTGTCAGATTTGTTCTTTTCGAAATAAACGCAAAAAAATGAATCGCATTTCCGCCAATTTTCATCATGATATTCGAATTCAGCACATCAAAAAACGTTAGAAAACATATGCGCGCTAAGAATTTCCGGCCCGTCCTTTTCGGAAGTATATCCTTCGATCCGCTGAAAGGGTTGGAACCCACGAGGAAAGACGAGGATAGTAAAAGGTCGTTGAACAAACACTCACTTCACCACACTTCTATTTAAAATAACCTTTTTTATTTAACAATTTGATAGTTGCTTACAAATGTTGTACCCCTTTATTCATATAATTATTTATTGCTAAAGATTACAATTCCTTTTAGTAATTGTAACTTTTATTTAATTAATACAGTTGTTTAGTTAAATGAATATACTTTACAGTTATCGCTCGTGACTTATGAGTAAATCGGTCGGCAACGTTATCGCGGATGTTACTTGACTCGGTTCTCGCGACGCGCGTAACGTATCGTTACCTTTAGATTTCAAGACAAGACTCTGCGCTCGGCAATTAGGCGGTCGCTTATATTGAGTTTGATGATGTCGCTTTTGGTCTTCGATCGGACCATATATGGTAATATTCGTCGCGCTAGAGGCGCGATCGCGTGATTAAAGAATGTGCAATCTTGCACTTCCGCTGTCGGTTGCCATGCCGAGTGCATTTAGGTATTTCGCGCGCTATGATCTTAGATCGACGCTTTGTCGCGCGCGGTTTAAAGAATGTGCAGACTTGCATTTCCGGTGCCGGTTGTTATGCCGGTTAAAAAGAAATAATTAATAAAATAAGTGATAGCCATTCGGGCTATAACACACCTGGCAGTTTATATGAAATATAAATAACTAAATTCCATAAGAATAAAACATTTGTTGGCGAAAATAAGACAGGCACCTATAGAAACTCGAGAGCAACTTCGCTTTCGAGAAACACTTGGCAGTTTATGTGAGATAGAAGGCCAGATACGGTACTGTAGCAAATGACAAACTGCAACCATCAAAGCAAATGGAAAAAACTACAACCATCTGAATGGTACGATCCGTGAATTACATAAAATAAACTGTATTCGGTAGAATAAAGGTAAAAAATAAAGCAATTCCAATATTCAGGATTCCATATATCGGTTCTGAAATTGCAGTGGGTACAATCGCTATTACGAAATTAGCGTCGAATATATTATGTCGGATCGTTCAAACCCGGCTCCTTACGTACTAAACTGAAACCCATTTCGACAGCGAGAATGAAAAAGAGCGCCGAGAGCTGCGCCACACCTAGCGGCGGCGTTCGCAACGCTCTCGCCGAAGCACGCATGTAATCCATTCAGAACTGTAATATTTTGACTCAAGTTGATACTACAATAAAAATATATTATAGATATATATTACAAAATAATTTACACGTTGCATAATAATTTAATTACAATACTTATCTATGAAGTACTAAAATTGTAATAACTACAGAAACATGGTTTATATGTAGTAATTTCGCGAAGGATTATAATAACAACACAGATTACAATCCCCCGGCAATAGGAATTTTTCATAATGGTGGCGTTTCATTTTGAGACATAAAGCAACTTATTTTGAGATACATGATGGAATCAGTTTTTACAGTGTATTGTCGAGCACTTTTTTTCAAACTACTCTTCAACACTTTTTTTATTTTCGTTCGCTGTATTGCATCCGGCATTTTGAATTTTTAAAACGGACCACGGATTCGTAATCAGCAACCCCGAAAACCCCCCCAGTAACAAATTTCGTTTAGATCAAGCAACTTTTTGCATTTTGGTCCGCCATATTAGATCCGCCATTTTGAATTTGAAAATCTGACGTCAGATTCGTAATCAGCGACCCCGAAAACATATAATGTTATAGTTTCATACAAATATATATAATCGTTCAATCAAAAATGAATTTTTTCAGAAATTATTGCTATTTTTCCATGGTTATTTATTTATAACAATTTAAAATTAATGACAATTGATGATTTGTAATTTTTTTTATGATTATAGACATCTTGTTAACCTAATTAACTCAAAAATCCGATTGTGTAGGTGAAAACAGCCGAATAATTAATTAAAAACTGAGAGAAAAAAGGTAGGACGCTGGACTATGCCGCAAAGGGTTAGTGTATTTGAGACTTACTCTATCCACTTTGAGATCTCATAAGTGAGTGAGAGGTCAAAGAAGATTGAAATTTTTACAAACAATACGTCATCATTTAAAAGGAAAAGACAATATATATAAAGAAATATAAATATAAATATAAATATAAATATAAATATAAATATGGAGAATGGAAGAAACATTTATATACAAAGAATATCATTGTAAAGTGGATCTAATAAGTCAATGTCGCTTTTTATGTTTAATCCGTTAGACTGTTTTTTTAATAAAAATAGCTTCTGATATCAACCGTCTATTAAGCACTATTTCCTCATCCAACACTTCCACCTCATCCCAATTAAAATCGTGATCATGTTCCAATCTATGTTCCGTAATCACTGACAATGAGCTTTGTTCCGAGTTTCTGTTAATATGATTACGATGTTTGTTAATTCTCGTTTTTAATAGTCGTTTCGTCTGACCAACATATGATGCATTGCAGTCTTTACATTTTATTTTATAGACTACATGGTAAACTTTGTTACCCGCCATTATTTTAGTGCAACTCGTTCCACAACAATTTGTAATACGACGATACTGTGTGATATGAATATATGAATATCAAGCTTTGCAGTAAGGTGTATATCAATTCAATTTATTGTTTACATGTAAGTTTAATGGGTATAAAATCGAAACAAGCGGCGGTGGTTGCAAAAGTAACAATCACAGTAGTGTCGATTGTAACATGAGTAATTATTTAGAAGACGTTCCTCATCATCAATTTCAATGAAATTATGCTCACATTCGAAGCGTTTTTGCTTGAAACGAAAGAATCTGGCAGTAAAATGTTGTGCTCAGTCCCACGAAGTGAGATATTAATCATTAAAGTTAACTGTTGTTAGGTTATGAAATCTGTCACATCGATGGTATAAACAACAACAACAAATACTTTTATTTTCAATGTTTGAAATTTGACAGTTATTTTTCTGTATTTATTTTATTTTTTTGTATTTTTTCAATGTTGTTTATTAGCATAGTGTTGATTTTCATATGGATATATTCACAATGTTTTTGTGTTACAATCAACACCCTGGGGTGATACAATTGACACCATCGCGGTGTCAATTGTAACAAGTTGCGGCGATGCCATTAATGATAAATATCATTTATAATTTGTTACTTTTTTAAATATCTATTAAGTTGAAATTAATGCCAAAGGATTTATTTGTTTTCATAAAAAATTCAATTTTTTCTTATTTATAATAAATTAGTTAGCTGCAAAAATATTTTTTTTGTTATAACCGACACCACTCTCCCGTACATTAAACTTTTATGACTACATTAGAATCAATAACATCTGTTCCGGAATAGGATAAGTTTCGCGCCACAAAGCCGAATAAAGGATCGATTGCGCCATCCATCGATTCCGTCCGTGAATCTTTTCGTCGCACTCGCCGCGCCGTCTTGCGAATATCATTACTACAATTTAGCCGCATATTTGGATACCGATGTCGCTGTCGTCCTGATACTCGTGCAGCGCGATTCTACCCTC